TAGTTGGTTCGTACCAAATTCCATTCCACGTTGGACCTTACATCGAGGAGAAGCTTTCCTAAAAGCAGGCGAAAAGCAGAAGCAAGAGACAGAGACCTTGACCTCGTAACTCTCATGATTTTTGTTTTGTTTTACGTAGGAAAGCTCTATAATCAACGTCCCTCGTAGTGGTCCACTTCTCTGTAACTTTTCCATTTTCAAAGACTTTGCTCCTCAACTTTACCATAATGCCTGCTACTCACTCTTTGACACCCCCATGTTGCATCATTCTTGCATTTCACTCTCATCTTCAAATCATTGCAAGTTGTAATGATGTTGTAACAATGAGTAGAGCCCCCGTGAATTACTTATGATGCACCTTAGGCGAAATGGGGCAATTCGTCTGTTGTTTTCATGTATGGCAAGTTCTGCTGCTACTTCTTTCCCAAATGGTAAAAACTAAAAGGCCAAGGGATGACATTGGAGATGGTTTAGATGGGTTATTTATTTGAAGAGGACTCTCCTTTCTTGTCAAGAATTAATAGTTTTTTTACTCAAAGTGGGTGGCCATGTTTATAAGCCATTATGTTTTTGAAATTTTTGATTTTTAAATTTTTTTGGGCCCTCGAAAATTTAAATTTATTTTTCTCCATTTTGTGAAGTTTTGAATTATTTTCTTTTTTTTTTTGGCTGAATAATCGGTACTTTCTTGTTAGAAAAGAAAAACAAGCTCTCCTTCGGGGCAGTAAAAAAAAAAAAGTTTTGAAAATTTTATTTTTTTGGGCATAAAAATTTAAATTTCACTCAAAGTAGGTGGCCGTATTTTAAGCATTTTGTGAAGTTTTGAAATTTTTGATTTTTTGCACCTAAAAAAATTTAAATTTTCAAAATGGGTGGTCATATGTGTTTTAAAAATACGTGAAGTTTTGAAATTTTGATGTTTTTGATTTTTAAAAAAATTCACCAAATTCATATTTTCGATCGACATTTTTTTTATTTTCTAAAATTTTTATGAATTTTTCTAGAATTTTTAATTGTATGCATTTTAAAAAATCCCAAATTTGTATCTATGTGACAAGGTTCCATTAGATGATTTTCAATCAAAATGGCGATTTTGTTTTCGCTTAAGTCAATATAATTTTATTGGCATTCCATCCCTAAAAGGCCAAGGGATGACAATGGAGATGGTTTAGATGGGTTATTTATTTGAAGAGGACTCTCCTTTCTTGTCAAGAATTAATAGTTTTTTTTTCTATTTCTATTTATTTTTTTCCCTCGAACCATTTATTTTTCTCCTGTGTTATGTTATCCTCTCTAGTTTTTTTTTTTTGTGATATCAAAAACCCCAAACTATGTCAATTATGACACATTTACCCTAAACTTTTTTTTGTGACATTAAAAAATCCCAAATTTGTATATATGTGACAAGGTTCCATTAGATAATTTTCAACCAAAATGACATTTTTTATTCCGCTTAAGTCACGTGGGCGTCATGTCAACATTATTTGCTTTTTGAAGTTCATCTAAGCAGATTTTTAATGATTATCATTAACAAAACTTGGGAAAATTCTAAATAAGGGCTTGAAGTGGACTTTGTGTTAAATAATGACCGAAATGGCATGTCGTCTCAAATAAGGGTCTAAAGTGGCCATGTGACGTTTCAAATAAGAATGCAGCGCCTGATCATTTGCGTCAAGGACATTTTCGTTCAAAAATAACTTTAATTTTAAATTATTTTTCTTTTTCCTTTCTTTTCTTTTTTTCTTTGTTCGGTTTTCTCTTTGTCTTCACCAGTGGCCGGTTCCAGTGGCTAGCCAACCATCGGCGAAACCCGAGAAGGGCTGGGTGAGAGTCTCCCTTGCCCGATCTGGTGAGGGACGGCCTTGCCTGGGCAAGGTCGCCCTCGAAAGCCACAAGCGAGGATCGGCCTCGCCTAGGCAAGGGTCTCGCTAGCCACCCCTCGCCCAAGCAAAGCCAGCCCTCACCTATGGTTTTCGAGGGCGGTCTCACCCAGGTGAGACTCGCCTCTCTATCCTTTGCCGGTAGCTGGCAAGGTGACCCTCGCCCAGATCTAGCAAGGGTTGGCCTTGCCCATGGCCGGCGAGGGCAATCCTCGTCTAGCCCTTCCCGGGCTTCGCCGATGGCCGGCCGACAGTTGGAACCGGCCACCGGCGAAGAATAAAGAGAAAACTAGAAAAAGAAAAATGAAATGAAATGAAAAAAAGGAAAAAAATTCAAAAAAGTTAAAAGACAAAAATGCCTTTACCATCCGGAAAGTCAAACCTTCTTTGATATAGATATAGCCAATTCAGAACCTTATTTGTAACAAAAACCATTTCATGCCATTATCTGACACAAAATTCATTTCAGGCTCTTATTTGAGAAAATAATGGTACTTCAAACCTTTATTTGAAATTTTCCCGAGAAAATATGCAGTGGTTCTTTATGTGGTGCGAATTTTTTACTTACAACCACTCATAGGTTAACATGTGTCTGTTGGTTTCATTTTAAATAAAATAAATAGATTTTCTTGTCTCATTGGCCATGGACCTCAGTTGAGCCGCTCACCTTTGTTTTTCTTTTTGCTTTTTAGGCCATGGACGACAAAGGCCTACGGCCATGGACGAGCAGGCCACAGACAATATCGTCACCGACTAGCAATGGACAGCAGAGTCACTGGCCATCATCAGTTTCATTCGGCCAGATTTGGAAGTCTAGGCATCCACGGCCAAGGCTCTATTGTCGGCGTCATCTAAACCCTCGATCAGATCTGGAGCAGCGCCTAGATCCGGACTCGAAAGTCTAGGCGCTCGCAGCTGAGGCTCCATCGTCGGTGTCATCTAAGTCCCTCCTTCCATCTCTCGCAACTAAGGCTCCAAATCCATATATGAAATTTTGGAGCCTTGGTAAATTTGGAGTCTTGGCCACTAGCGACGTACATGAAGCGGCTGGCTGCCAAATCTGGATTTGGATGTTTGCTGAGAAAATTTCCAAGAAGATCTCGATGCTGAATCCATCCTGGACGAAGAAATTGAAGAATGGATCATTGGCTTGTTCACAGATATATAGACGAGCCACTGTCTGTGGCCGACCACTTGAGCCATCGCAGTCAGATCTATGGATGAACCACCACGACCACTGCTTCAAGTAGGGGTGTGCAAAGGAACCAGGAACCACCTAGACCGCCCAGAATCGAACCGGACCGGCTCGGAATGGGCAGTTCCCTGTTTTAATTTACTAGAACCGGTGAGTACCGGTCCGGTTTCCGGTTCTAAGCGTGGAACTACCTACTTGCCTACTCGGACCGGTAAAACATAAAATCCCTAATTTGAAACTTGACTCTCAACTCCCATCAACTCACCAGTGCCCCTCTAGCCATTTATCGCTTCCCTCTCTCTCTCTCGGTCACCTCTATTTGCATGAAATTTAGTGGGACCGGTTCCATGAACCCACCTGGGAATCAGATCAGACCGGCGGTCCGGTTTCCGAGAGGATCCATGGAACTAACGGGCATTTCCCAATTCCAATTTTTCTAATCAATCCTTAGTGGGCGGTTCCCGATTCTATGTTGGAAACTGCCCACTCGGACCATGCTCACCCCTAGTCTCTAAATTTGTGGATGAGTTGCCGTCCTTAGATCTTTAGATGGCTTAAACGCAATGCTAGTGACTTTGCCACTGACGTGGCAATATCAACAATAATTAGACCTAAGTATATAAATGCATGCAATATCAACAGCTGATGTGGTGCTATGAAATCTGTAGCGGAAGTCAAGCGATTGAACAATAAAATTTGATTAAACAAAAAAATAAATCGGACACCAGATTTACGTGGTTCGATCGTAATGACCTACGTCTACGGAGAGAGCAATATATTATTCCACTATAGATCAAGCGATACAATAGAGATTATAATCATACTTGAGTCACTTAAACACTCTCGGTATTTCCAAAGCTCCAATTACACCCAATAGCTGGCGCAGTGTTTAGCCTCGTAATTCCTTACGAAATAATCTATCAATCTCATAAAGGAATTGACACAAATCTTACCACAAGATTTAATCCGTCACAAACACTTGAACTTTTGAATGTAATTTGCCGAAGAAAGACCCACGAAACTCTCTGCCAAGCACTCTATTTCGGCGCTTCAAGTCTTCTTCTTCACCTCACGGAGCAACCCTCGATACATATAACTCGTATGTCCACCGCCTCTTTTGTGACCGACTCTAGTAGCATCTGATTTCCTTTTTCTTTTCTCTCATGCAATTGGCCACACGTATTGGACAAAGAAACTAAATCCCAGTGAGAGACTCGGTCAACAAGTCAACAATGTCCATGATCAACTTTCCTATTTATTTTACCTTGGTGACTTTCAGGTGCAATATATCGTCGACTTCAACTTGCCAAAAGGAAGTTCCGTATTTTGCTTTGGTCAATTTCGGACATCCACAAAATATCCAATTTATCTTGAGTCGGGTTTCGTTTACGGGCTCAAACTCGATAAATATTCTAGTCTGAATTGTAAATAGTTGATGCATCAAGCATGAACACATTTCTGTATAGCAAAAGGGATGGGGTACGGTGGCTTCCCCGTTGTGTTCCATTCATTCGTACATATAACGACGTTTTTTGCATTTCTGGCTAATCGCATCTTCTACAAACAAATCATAAATTAGATGGAGATCAACCTCCTAGGCTAAAAGCACCTACTCTCAACAAAAGCTCCATTTAATTATTTGTCCTAGAGGGGAAGTGCAATAATTCAAAAGACTAAAGTCATACAACGAAGGAAAATAACTTCCGAAAGGGTCATATGATAAAATAACAGTAGAAAAAACAAGGAACACTAGTGCAAAAGATAATGTCATCGGTCCGAGGCATACAACATGTTTGCCGAAGCATCAGCGCATCAGTTCTGCTCGCAGAAAAAGTGCACAGGCTTTGCTTTCTTCAGAGGCCAAAAAAAGGCCTAAGAGAAAGCAATCAAGCAATTCAGAAGATATATCCAAAGAAGAAACTAGGTTATACGCGAACAGAGCTAAATCATCATTCCATTATATAGAACTTTGTAATGTCACATGAGAAACACTACGTATCAAAATTTATGGCACACTATACATCAACACATATATATACTAAACACAAGTACATAAATGAACCGATTACAGCACTTACATGCTGGCTTTGACAAGTCTATGCTCTTGCTTCACTTTCTGGTGCGAGAAAGGTGAGGATTGAAACCCTTTTAACATTTTCTTCTTTTGGGAGGGGGTGTGGGGAGGATATTTATACATACACGAAGGAACAAAGAAATCAGGGCAAAATAGGCAATTTTCCTCTTCAAAGAAGATGCGGCAGTAAAATTTTGCACAACGAATCAAACGTTCTCAAGAGTCACTCCAACTATCTTCATCGTCATCTTCATCACTTCCAGCAAATGCCTGCCACAATCATGACTTCTAATTACTACTAGAAAGAGGGGAGGGTTTGGCAGGAACGCGCGCGCGTGCACAGAGAGAGAGAGAGAGAGAGAGAGAGAGAGCGAAGAGGGACCTGGCGAATGGCATTAGCCTTCTCCAAAATAGCATTAACCCTCAAGTTAGTTTTAGGACCCTGAATACTTGGTCGGGTGATAGCAGCAGGCTTCAAGTTGAATGACTGGAAGAAAAAAAAAGCACAAACAAAATTCAGCAACACTATATACTGTGCTTATGATTAGAAAAAGTTACGAGAACATAGGAACACAGTGGGAATTTGTTATGATGTTAGAAAGCTAACAAGACAAGATGTAGAAAAACAGGTATGTAAAAATTTGGATAAAAAATCTGAACCTTTGTCCGTATTTGCTGTAGCAACGAATCTCTTTCATTTGCTCTTGGTTCAATTGGAGGCTTTATTCTTTCAGTAACCTTCCTCAACTGCAAATAAGTTTCATACATTGTAAAAGCATGTAGACGCTAAGAGTTGAACTCACAAAGAAAACATCATAAACGTTGAAGAAAAAATGAGAAGTTTAGCCATAATAATCATTACCATGCTTCTATCATGAGCAGCAACAGCCTCTATGAGACGTTTTGGCGGGCGTGGAATATTACTCATTGATTTTCCATTTGGTTGTACAACTTCATTTTCTGGTAGAGCTGAAGTTGCCTCCAATGCTCTTTCTCCATCTAAATTACGCAGATCATGTTGGAGATGCTCATCTTGCTTCATTTCTGATGGCCCGGATGCATTACGAGAACTCTCATGCTGTGCTTCTGATTTCTCATTAAAATTCTGCTGACCCTCATCCTTTGAAACAGACGAAGTTGACTCAATATATTGAGTAACTTCTCCCTGTGAAGATACGGGGTCACTTCTAGAGGGTCCGTCTTCAATAACTGGATGAGGTGGGAGACTGTTTGAATTGGATTGCACCACTCCTCTTCCCAAATCAAGGAAAGCATGTTCAGACACACTTGCTGAGAAGTGGTCCGGTACTTCTGTAGCCTCCATCACAGAATTGTTATCCCGAATAACGGAATTGCCATCTGTGATTTGAGTTAGAGAAGATAACGGACTGGGCAGTGCCAATTTATCCTCTTGTTCGTCAGAGTGTAGCTTCTCATTTTCCGTGTTCAGAAATGTGTGATGTGGCCATATTAATCCTCCCTCTGATGCTGACAACTGAAGTTGTGGATTTTCTTCAGCTGGTAACTGTTGTAACCATTGGAAGCATTCCTGCCCATCTTGAATTACTTCACTCTGTGAAGCAAGAGGAACGTGATGATCCTTTCGTATTGTCCATTCGGGAGGAGGTAAAGGTGCCAAATTGGGAACATCCTCGTGATTAATTTCAGCCACATCAGAGGTTTGTGGAGATATAGCAATATTGGTATGTAATGAAGCCCCTACTGGACTAATACCATCAACTTCCTGGCTAGCTGACTTTTGTAAGGATTCTGAGATAGAATGCTGGGTTGGTTGATCTTCTGGACATGATTCAAAAGCTGCATATTTTTCTTTGGCTATACTGTCCGAAGATTGTAGTTGTCCAGACAGAAGAGTTGACGATTGGCTTCTTGTTTCATCATCTTGCAGACACTCTGCATCAGATCTGTCATTTTGAAACCCCAAAGGACACTCTAAAGGAGATCCCGGTCTGCTAGAAAGAATGTTCTCCTGAACCACGAGATCTGCTGATCGCAGTTTTTCAGATTCAGGATTACATGTCTGAGGACTAACTTCATCTTCGCATGATAAATTTAAATGAAGCTCATGCGGTGGCACATCCAACAAGTGCTCTAGAGTTTCTCCTTGGTCTACTTGGTGCAAGGATGACGAGATATCTTCACTGCTCCATGGAAGATGACCTTGGGAGGAAGGTTTTGGTTCAAGCTCCTCACTGCCTAGTTCTGCATATCCTGAACCTATTGTCGCATCATCTGAAGGATGTCTGCCCAGCGATTTCTCCATAAAAGATGAGCCAGGCATCTCAGTTTCCACTGCAGATTCCGGGTGAGGGATCAGATCACTTGGGATGGAGTTGTTTTCTGCATAAGCAACTTTGGGGTCTCTTGCTTCCTCAAGCAAGTGCGACTCTTTATTACATTCTGGAGAAACTTCCTCATCTGACTCACACTCTTTCTGAGGCAAATTATCAATGTCAGGCAGTGGTTCTTGTGAATCTGCACATGAGCCCCCCACTATATCTGGAGCTGGATCTACACTAGTGCTGGCATTATCATCAGTAGCGGTAATAACAGGAGTAGGGAGTAGCAACTGTTCTATTGGAGCTCGTTCAGTCCCCACATCATGGATGTTTGTATTCTCATTAAGGATTGAGCTATTGCATGGGAAGTTAAGAGGACTGGCATCTCCTTCCACTGCTTCCATGGTCGAGGAAACTTTGACAACATCATCAAAATCCAGGGGGGGTTCATGCTTTCCAAACTCAACGTTTTCCTGTAAAGGTTGAACATCTACTTCTAGTGCATTTTGCTCATGTGATGGAGCATCATACGTGAAATCAAAAGATTGCTGTTTAATGATATGAGTCTGTTGCTCATCTTCTACGACGATTGGATTTTCCAAGTTCACCAAATCAGCTGCCGAAGGATGAACTTCAGAATTTGCACCATGCAGGTTTAACATATCTGGATTACATGCAGGTGGAGCGACTGAACTATCAGGCAGTGATCGAAGATCTGAACATCCGGACGCTTCTGGCATTACTGGAAACTGGAACTGATCTTCCAGGATCATCATATTTGAATGCCAAGAAGTGATCTCTCCACTTGTCACAGTTCCAGTGTGATCTGCACCTTTGTATTTATCATCCAATTCTTCATGCTTATAGGTAATATTACTTTCATGTTCACGGGGCAACTCGAGAACGGTCAAAGAGTGCATTAAAACATCAGATGAGACTTCTGGATCTGCATCTGCTGACTGAAAGAATGGATTGCTTTCAGAAGCAATGGGGGAGAAAGCACCATCCTGGTTCTGAGAAGCAGAATCAGAAGAAACAGCTCTCATCCTGTCTACCTCCACCTCTTTTTGGTCAGACCCTTCTGTTTCTGATTCAACTAGTAGACTTTGTCCATGAGCTGAAGGTGAAAGCTTTACATTCATATCAATAGAACATAAATCTGCAGATGCTTCCGCAAGATCACTGATTTCATCATCTTCTTTGCCCATATGTTTGGCCACAACAGACTCATGGGAGTCTTCTAATTCTCTAGTTCCCCCATGTGCAGGAAGCTGGTTATCGGTCATGTTCACATGATGAGAGGCACAAGTTTCAGTAGACGGGAATGCCCTAGCAATTCCCTCACCATCAGATGCTATATTATCAACCAAGTTGCTTTGACTATCAGAGTAGGTAAAGCTAGAACTTCCTTTAATGAGAGGAGAGTTTCCATCTTCCGAGGCAGAATAGCCTAGAGATTGAGAGTCTGAATATTGAGCTTGAAGTTCCAGGTGATCTTCATTTGTGTCGGAATCTGTCTCAATTTTTTCATCATTCAAGAAACATTGGCCATTTTTAGCTCTGTATTCATTGTCTGTTTCAGCTTCAGATTCCATGGTAGCAAGGGCATCCACGTAATTCTCTACCTCACTGGTTATCTCATCAGAATGGCAAACATCCATGCCACAATCCATCTTGGCTTCTGCATCAACCAACTCCTTTTTCTCAGCCTCATAAAGAGTAGGACTTCCATATGTCTCATTATCATGAGGTGGCTCAGGCTCCACCATTTCCTTCCCATTAAGGACCATCCCATTCAAACATTCAAGAGATGGTTTTGGCAAGAGTGCTTCTGTAATGGATGTTAAAGTGCTCCCCTTCTCTTTTGATAGATTTTTCTTTGGACTTACCATATTGACATCAACTACTTCATTACCTGATTCACAATCCGTTGTCCATCTTAAGGATGGTGGAGCAATGGAAACTTCACGCACCGTTTTACTCTCAGGTGAAGGAGTCTCCACAAACTTCCCCATATAACTTTTCCCATTTCTTGAACAAAATGGAGGTTCATTAAACTGCCTTTTCTTCAATTTCACAAGACGTGAAGGGTTACTATAACTATTCGCAATGCTCTCCTCCATAAACAATTGCTGCAGTCTGTTATATGCAAAGAAAATGAGTCACCGTGACATTCACCAGGGAAAAGGGATCTCTACAAAATAGGAAAAGGCAGTTTTCCAGAATTTTGTAGTTTCAGACTCACCTGGCATGTGATGCTGGTAAAATCTCTGGAGTTTCTCCATTTCTACCACGCATTCCTTTCTTCTACAAGGTTCAAAGAAAAAGTACTATTAGAATCATCTTCGTAGTTCAGAAGGAAATTCATATTAAGAGGAGCTGACTTTCCCTAAGCGGAGGAGAGTCCATCACAAGGAGATTTTAGAAATAAGGGAAAATTACACAAAAACATTGTGGACCATTAATGGCTGTAACAAATTGAAAGTTGGGGGTAATGTGTATCAGTCGAAAGTTTAGGGGCAAACATTTACTAACCCCAAAATTTGGAGGAGTCTTGCGTAATTTTCCCTAAAAATAATTAAAAAGTTGAACGCGGTCCCCATTTATGAATACGCGATAGAGAAGTGCTACGCAACAATAGTAACTCAAACGAATGAGGTTGCCAATTGCCAACATCAACAGCACCAAATTTTCATGAATGAATGATGATTCTCTTTGTCTAAACAATTAATCAAGCTAATGGCATAGGTGGCTCCAAGTCAACTGGCTTTCTTCATTTGAGCTGTATAAAAAAACTTTTTTGACAAAATAATCAACTGATAATAAAAGTATACTGATTGAATAAGTGTAACTTGTTACACTTCTAATAATAGAAACTCAGTTCAATCGAGCCAGCAGATGTTTCGAACTTTCATTTTACAACTGCAAGAACTTATTGCCGTGCTCTTCAAGAAGTGAAGGAAAAGGCCGCCTGAGCCTAAGTTTATCAGGCATCCTGGAGGGGATTCCACCAAGCCAAACCAAGCGCCACGCAAACTCCCTCCCTCCATCCCTTCCCCCGTGCTCTTCAAGAAGTGAAGGCAAAGGCCGCCTGAGCCTAAGTTTATCAGGCATCCTGGAGGGGATTCCACCAAGCCCAACCAAGCGCCATGCAAACTCACTCCCTCCCTCCCCTCCCTCCCTCCCTCCCTCCCTCCCTCTCAATCCCTCAACATGAACTAGGCTAATGAAAGAACTAGTTCAGTGGGTTGATCATAAATTGAGCAGCTTGGACCCCCCAAGTCAACTATTGCCAATGCTATAGAAGTTTAGTCATTGTGATTTTCATATAGAAAAGATGCATAAATCTAATAATATAACTTTGTCAACCATCATCATATCTCCAGCCTGGCTCATCTAATCACCTCTTTGGGGATACAACCCCCACCCTCGCTCCCTCCCTCCCTCCCTTCCTTCCCATGTATAAGTCCCCCTTACATCCATTTCCTTAATAATCAGTTTCAAGCTCAGTCTCAAGAAAACAGTACTGTTACCAGCCCCAGAAGCAAATCCTATAGCCATAATTACTAATATCAGGCCAAGCCTAGGATGTAAACCACCAACCATAACCAGGTCTGTCCCAGTAAACTTGGCTAGTGCTGATTTAATGGACCAGTGACTGAGTTATGGTGTTGCAGTTTGCTTTTGCCTTTCTTGATGAAGTTTGTTGCGGAGAATTATAAACATGAGGTAGGAATCTTAACACACTGAAGGTGACTGGTTGCTCCTCACATGTGCCTATACTCCCTTGAGGACCTCACACAGTAGGTGTCAAACTTGACGCAATTCAAGGAGCCAAGAAAATGCAAGAAAAGAGGGTATCCACACCCAAAGAAGAAATCATAGTCAACTGTTGAATTGAATACTGACCTGGGATATAGAAAATTCTGATACTATAGTAAGTGATATTGAGTTAACTTTATTAACCAGAAATATACATCCTAATAGTCATTGCCACAGTTTGATGATATTTTCGCAGCTAAGCTTTCCCGAAGGACTCCAATGGCACCTCCGCCTTAACGCTAATCACCCCAAAATGCAAGACAAGAAAATTCTTTGCAGATTCAGAGCATGCATTTTGAGGATCCTATTTCCAAATTATAGTAGTGAGCTTTTTGTGTTGATCCACGAATGAAACAAATAATAATTTTCTTACACAAGTTGGTAGCGCCACCATAGGTATTGAAATTGTCGAAAAGGGATTAATTAGTCACATACCTTTACCCTGCGCACTTTTCTTTCCCTCTGAACTTCACCTACTGAAGCGTCCACTCTAAAGAATGACGGATCAGTGTAACGCTTCAAACAAGCCCCAGCACCAGCAACATCAAACCTAAGGAAATCCAAGAATAAATCGTAAGATTCTTCACTTTTGCAAAAAGAATGCCATCTCAACATTTGTTTCTGATCATATTGTCATACTTGTCCAGAAGAAATAGCCGTGGCGGGCCTCTACATTCTTCATAAGAGTCCATGATAAAGCGAGGCAAGTCTCCTCGAGCAATCAAATTCTGCTGTGAGCGCATATTAGCATGCCAATCAACACCTATAAAGCAACAAGCAAAAACCATGAGGATAACTTTCAAGAAATTTTTCAGGGACAGGTACAGTCCTACAGTGCGGCCCTAGGTTGTGGTAAAATTATCAGAGACAATCCTCGGTTTTGAAAATAAACTTGACTCCCAGCCAAGATTGTTACCCCATTTTTTTTATCTTCTGAATGACAGATCAACCCAGTCAGCTGATAACAAATATTCTCACTCATTCAGTTGGAGACAAGAAAAATAATACACCCCACAAAGGGGTGAGAAGCCCCTGTTACTACAGTAGAGTACAGATGTTCCAAACAAGGAGGGTGTTTAATAAATTTCACAAAGTATAGGGAGTTGCAACTTCTATTTTAATCAGTTATTTCTTCTCAACATATGTAAAGTGATAAACTTAATATCATTCAACTCTTTCAAGGTACGATCAACTGTGGAAGGAGAAAGAAGGATAGTATGACTACTCCTTGCAACATATCGTATGTCACCATATGCATTGATCAGAATTCAGTAAGTGAAGTGGGTTACTTAAACATCTAAGGTTGCAAGTTGCGGCAGTTGAAATAGATGGCTCTTATGCCATGATAAATTGACATATGTGAAGGATGTGAAAACACTCAAAAAAAGTATATACATCAAAAAGGGTGACTGAAAAACAGTACAGGTCCACCTGCCTCAGGTTTGCCTAACATCTTTGTCTTTAACATGTCGCTCTTGGCAAAATCTTTACCGAGATTAAAAAACCAGAGGAGCAGTTAAAAGGATGTTATATAGGGATACCAACTAATGATGATTAAATTATGTGCCACCAAGCTACTTAAGTTTGCAAATTTTTGATAACGCGGGGTATCTGAACCTTTGACCCGACAATCCTGCATGGATACATGCAAACCACCGTATCCATGTGCGTGTTTGCAAATTCTTAATTTCCAAGGTAGTCTTCAATTTAAAAAAGAAAAGGCTCTTTTTGACCAACAAAAGGAGACTTCTAGGATAAAGATGAGTCCTATAAAAGCTAAGCACAAAAAAACGTATTCCCATTCCAACATTGAAGGAGCTCAATAAGATAACCATATCTGCTTCAAAGCAAATATCCTATCTTTCTCCCTGCCAATCCATACTATAACAAAAACAAAACTGTATGGCAGCAACAGTGCAATAAGTCGAAGTTCAGAGAAAAGAAGTGACTATAGTCTAACCTAATGGTATGATTGCAATGGGATACACAAGTCAAGATAGTCATATAGAGGGCAATTACTCAATTTCTATTGCAAAGGTATTTCAGAAAATTTTATAGGATCTAGCGGGCTAATTATTTGCCAGCCAATCTCCCTTTGCGTATGTCACTGAATACTAATAGCTGAGCCTTCATCATTTCTCCAGAAACAAGATCACCAACAAACATGTCACAATAATAAATTTTGCGTAAAGGAAACATACGTATGAAGTTACCTTACCAAAACAAAACATACGTATGAAGTTAATGAGTGACTGTGCGGTCAATTCCTTAAAGGTGACAACACAAATAATAAGAGCCCATGCTAAGCTTATTCAAGAGGACCATCTAACCTGGATTTGAAAAAAAGGACGAATGATTTGTTTGGGACAGCAATGCCTTCTCAACTAGAGGGAATTCTACCTCCAGCTGTTGAACACGTGCCCTGAGACTATGGCCTCTCGAAGCTGTGGCCAAAACCTCTTCATGCAAGTCGTGGAATATCTCAGCAGCAAATCTTGTCAACCACAATGAACAAAAATGTGCAGTTCTCTATCAGATGATACAGCAGTGATGGAAAAAATGACCAGACGCGCGATAATAATGTAAACATGATGGAAAATGGTCGAGATATCCAACTGTGACATAGACATCAGAAAACCATGCTTGTGAAGGAGTTTTGAATTGGTGAAGAGAAAAGCCCAATTTGGCTGATATCACATCAACGCCAAGAGATGGTTATAAAGAAATTCGAAAGATGATAAAAAAAAAAGCCACATAAATACTTGCATGTTGGTGTTACTATAGGTTGTGAGAGTGTATCTAACTTCCAATTACCATCCAGAAGTTCCCAAAGTCTGTTAATCGGAGAGGCATTGGCCAACCTCAACTAGTCCTTTCCTAGCTCAAGCCTCGAGATACACGTTTTCCCTAAAACCCAGCACCCTCGCGCATCTGTGGAAACTCTATTCCTAAATCCGGTACTCCCAAACATGGTTTTGCAAGTTCCTAACCCCTGCAACCGCACGAGCGCACTCAAATTCCACTCCGGCCACCATCTCGATGAGAACCGCTTCTTTTCGGGCCGAACCGTAACTAGGCACTTACAAGAGGAACGAAGTACCGATTCAGAGCTCATTCCCCAACCTACGACCAGCTAGACGACTAAATCTGCAGTCCGACGTAAAGAACACCGAATTTCACTACCGAACAAGCTCCCGAATCGGGAAGAGCTCAGATCAAATCCGGCAATTGCGCCGGACAACCACGACACACAGCGACTCCGCATTCCCTCAACCGACGCAATTCTAGTGAGAGAGAGAGGGAGAGAGGGAGAGAGAGACTAACTCAGCTAGGTCGCCGAGCTGGCGGAGGACGCCGACGAGGCCGGCCATGGCGACGCCCTCCAGGAGAGCCTCGGGATCATCCTTGTCGGCGGCTCGGTACAGCTCCGGATCGGCCAGGCCGTACTCGTTCCTTACCTGGTACCTCGTCAGCGGCATTTCCACTCCCCTCCCCTCCCTCCCTCCTTCCTCTCCTCCTCGTTCCCTCGCGCGACGCCGCAGCGACGGAGCTCCGAGTGTCGCCGGGGCTCAGTCCCTCTGCCCTCGTCCGCCTCCTCCGATTGCCTGCCTCTGTCTCTCAACGGCGATGTCCCTCCTCCGGCGCTCCGTCGCTACATTTTCATGGCGAAGGGCTCGCTCGCGCGCTCGCTGAGATTTGGGTCGGGGGACGAAACGAAGATGCGCAGTGGTGTGATGTCAGGGGCACACAGAGAGAGAGAGAGAGAAGGGTCACAGACTCACAGGCGAAGGCTTCTTGTTCTCCTGGGGTTTTGTGAAGGGGAAGCGGAAGAGGGCGACGTCGATTACTATTTTTATAAAAGCTCCCGATGATTAAAATAAAATAAAATAGATAATTAGTTAGGTTTTGGGGGTTTTATTTAATCCCGTTAATTAAACGAGGCGTTTCTAACTGTTGAGAACTGTGGAATAAGGAATGAAATGAAACGGTGCGTGGGGGCATAGTGGCGATCATGGTGCGCTCGTCTTGGTTTCCCTTTCCTTTCTCTTTTTTTTTTTTTCTTTTTTTTCCTTTTTTTTTTGTCTCGCTCTTTTTTATTTCTTTTTGGACATTAAAATGCTTTTTTTTTCTTTTTTACTTTCGCGATATTGTACGAAGGGCGACGAGGCAAGTGGTTTTTAAAACTCGCAACATTACGTGATCGATGAAGTGGACATCGTCCGTCTTTCATGGCGTGGCCGGGGCTGACGTGCACAAATTTTACAAATTTGTTCTTGAATTTTTGTTGTTTTTCTATTATTCATTTCTCTTTTTCTTATCTTATCCTTTTTTCACGATTAAAGTCGGCGACCCCCGCCGGCCACTGGGCAAGGGCTCGCAAGACTTGGCCAACCGCTAGCGAGGGTCGCGGCCCTCGCCCAAATTTGAGCGAGGGCCTCGAGAGGTCGCCAGGCCTTGGCCACCGACCCTTAGCAATTAAAAAAAAGAAAAGGAAAATATTAATAAAATGAATTATAAAATTTAGGGAAATTTTTAATTTGGTACCCAAAGTGAGGTCATTTTCTCAAAAAGGGATCCAAAGTGGATAAAGTGTCAAATAAGGGTCTGAAGTGCCCAATCAGTCTCAAATAAGGGCCCGAAGTGCCCAATTAGTCTCAAGTAAGGGCCTGGGTTTGCGCGGGCAGTCAAATGCTCACCGGTCGGCAAGTACGTCACTGTTCCGGCGATCGGAACGGGGGCAATTTCGTCTTTTACTTTTTTTTCTTTTTCTTTTCTCTTTTCCTTTTCCTTTTCTTCTTCTTCTTTTTTTTTTTTTTTCTCTTTTCCCTCCGCCGGCCATAGCCAGGGTCGGCGAAGGTGGCCGGCCTCAGGCGAAGGTAGCCCTCGCCGGAGTCTGGCAAGGGCTGCCCTCGCCCAACACCGGCGAGGGTTGCCTTCGCCTGAGGCCGGCCACCTCCGCCGACCCCGGCTATGGCCGGCGGAGGGAAAAGAGAAAAAAAAAAAGAAGAAGAAGAAAAGGAAAAGGAAAAGAGAAAAAAATAATAGTAATAAAAGATAAAATTGTCCCTGTTCCGATCAAGACTGATTGGACACTTCAAACCCTTATTTGACACTTTGTTCATTTTGGACCATTTTTTTAGAAAATAACCCCACTTTTAGATACCAAATTGAAATTTTTCCTAAAATTTATAAAATTTATCTAAATTAGCTTCAATTGTGTCACGTAAAATAACCAGCATCCGCATTAGCAATTTCCAGCTAAATTTGGCCCGAATAACTTCGTTGGCAAATTATCAAAGGATTTTAGAACTAAATTTGTACAATAAAAAAGTTTAGAACTTAATTAACTTAGGTTTATAACTTTTTTTGGACAAGTAGCTCTCCTGGAAGATAACAACTTCTGAAACATCTCAAGTATTCTTCGCAGAAATCATTTTCACGAATAACGGTTGGTTTTCACTCATTTAAGATTTTATAGAAAGTGTTTTCCTTCTTATTAGAAGAGGATGTCGTTTTCCCACAATCTAACCTTATAGTTTTCAATTTATGGTTTCCATAAATCGGTTTGATTTTTGGACCTAAGCAAGTCCTTAAAAAGCTTCATCTCGATCTTCATCCGGATCTCAAAGATCACCGGGATGTAAAACATTTAGAGATAATTCCCTCTCCCTAGAAAAAAAAAATCAAGGGGATTTGGAGATGCAAGACGTGCGGGCACCAGTACATTAAAATATGAAACGCATCCATAGAGCTCACCCCATAAGACGGGGACAGGCTGCGAAGACCCTTGTAAAAGCGAAGACCCTTGTAGAAGCAAAAGCTCCCTTTCTTTGGTGAGGTTAACTCCTAACAGAACACTTCAATTTTCATCAATTAAATTTTCGTTGTCCAAATATCAAAAAGTCGAAAAACAATTCTTGGAAAATAGTTTCCGGTTCCGAACAAGCGGACCTTCAATGTTTTCTTGGAAAACAATCACGCACGTGGGCACCGCGCGCATATACAGTTGTGTGAATAAAGGGAACGCCAGCGGTGTCAGAAGGACTGGGGGGACGCATTGATCGGACGTGTCCTGCGTCGAAGAGAGCAACAGGACGAGAATCAAGCGGTTGTGGTCCCATCGCACGTACACGGGGGTCCGACGTGTCTCAGCTCGCACAGAACAGAACTTTACGAGATTCATCAGACTTCTTTACTTCAGTTTTCAGGTTGCCCCGGACACGTTCTTGCATGGATATCCCGCGCCACGAAGTTGAATCGGAATCGATGCCGCCGGGGTTCGATTCGAAGAAGGTTTTCAGTTCATACTTTAGGTCGTTTTTACCATCGCTGGCTTGTGTTCATACTTTAGGTCGCTCTTGCATCGTTCGATTCGAACCTTGCACGAAATCATCCCGTGGTGTGTGATCAGCGACAAGTGACTCGACACCCAGATGGGGAGCATGAAGGTTCCGAGTCGTCTCACGAGTGATGATGAAGGCCGCCTGACTCCAGAGTTGGGGTAGTCGGTTACGGCATCGGGAGATTTTCGGTTTAATAACCGGAAGCGACTTCTTCAAATATGATAATTACGTGTAAATTACTCTAAGTGAGAGCCAATTGCATAAGTCAAATGTCTAGACCTAACAGGCTTACGGAGCTTGTGAGATGTCCGAGGAGCCTATAGATGGCTTGGTCTTTATGCCCATGGACATGGGTTATAAAAAAAATAAAAAAAAATCCCCATAGGCTCACAGTGTCGAGGGGAAAGGGGCGGTTTTGACCTTCCCCTCTCGAGTAGACTAGAATTCAACTGAAGTTACAACGTGAATTATATTTTAAATTATAAGTCTCTCTTTCGCATAAACATATGCAATATGATCTTATGATGTTTAAAGAAGGGAAGTGCACAAATAGGTTAAAGGGAGATGCAAAGAATGCTATTCGAAGTATTCGACTTTGATATCAACTTCAAATATGAGTGTGTAACTACTTTTTTTTTTTTTAAGTTTAAATTGTCATGTTAACCTCCCAAGGTCGGTGCGATTGATTGGATTTTAGAGATTTTTAACTCCAGAATCGAAAGCCTCATGTTCAAATCTAATAAGTAGTTACGAGTAATGGCCACCTACACAATTCAAAGTTATGAACTTAATCAATGCACAGGACTTTGTGGAGTGTTTTATAAGGAAAAATCTTAACTGCGCCGAACTATATGAACTCAGATCATATGAATTGTCGGATGAGGTGGGATCCATACATCCAACGGTTTATGTGATCTAGGCTCACGTGGTCCAAGGTGTAGACAATACCTAATTAATCCGTGGGCCTTCGGCTAATTGAGTCTTTGTACTCAGTACTCCTAAATTATAAAAGAAAATAAAAAAAACCGTTAAATAAATTTGTGCTTATTAATATTTAAATGGACAAACAATTTGACCAGTAACAACCTTACTATGACATATAACAGGAGACGTGTTCCAATAACTTGATTCCTCGTATGAAATCTCTTCCTAAACGCTACTATGCCACTAACTGCTTAACCTGCTCCGACCAACTCAATATGACATCACCAGTTTTGGCATATAGCTAGGTTAGATGCCACTTTTGAGATGTCCACAGCTGCTGATGAAAAATTTAATGATGATGCTTCTATAAAACATGAGTGTTGATGTTTTTAACGCATTTCTTTTTTTTTTTTATATTGCATCATTCCAAATTGACCCAATATACACCAAATGACCTAACAAAATATCATGGACAACCAATGAATATCATCAACAAAAATGACATCGATCTACGGGTGAAGATGAGAATTTTTTTGTTGTTGATGTTTATCTCCTTAAACATATATTATACACTACTAGAACATGTCTCCCGTTATATGTCCTAATGTAAGGACTTTGATAGGGCAAAATTTCAGAGGAGAATATCCCATCGCTCTAACATCTTTTTCGAGCGACCCTCTTGTTTTTCCTGTCCCGCAAAATTTTTCTACAGGACTCTTTTGGTGAACACGAAATTACTGAAAAATAGGAGGAATCAAGTTATTAAAACATGCCTTGGATTATTTGTCGTATTGCAAAGAGTTTGAGAGGGCAAAAACTTCGGTAGACAATACCTCATTGCCAGGCCTTCTTTTTTCGAGCGATCTTTCTTTTATCCCGCGTGATTTCTTTTTTACTGGAATCTCTTATTTGTGGCAAACACGGAATTACTGGTAAATACGAGTAATCAAAGCAGTAAACGCAAATATACAGTGCGCAACGCCGAGCGACGTATATTTTCCTCGGTTCCAGCACAATATCTCGTATCCGTAACGTGTAATTGATCCGATCCGCTAGGATAGTGATTAATCATTTGGAACATATATGATCATTAATGCAACAACCATATTATAAGTAGAGCTTTGCGGCTAAGATTAGACTTCACCTAAAAAAGTTTACAAACCCTATACATAAGCTAGCATGAACACTTACAACTAGCGGGACCCACAAGTAGAATAATGCTTTTTTTTTTTTTTTGCCTTGAGTTATAAGCTTGTCTAGATGGTGAACATGAGGCCACGAATAGTACCACTTGTGTCATGAGATTGTTTGATATTCTTTGGTTATAATTTTGCTAGACAAATGCAGATCCAAACGGCATCAATTTGTCTTTCGTGACTTGGCCTCACCTTTTCTATGTTCCCCTAGTTTGGCTCTATGCTGACTTTTCTATTCCATGAAAATTTATGGAGATATATCAATAAAATGAGAAATATCGTGAGAACCGAGTTGACCCTGTTACGAATCCTGTACGTCAATC